TGTCTGTTATTTATTTTTTTTTCCTTTGTCTTCTCTTCGTTACATTAAGTCCTCTCAGTCTAAATAGATACTGGTCAAAATGATGGAAATTCCTTGGGAAGAAACAGCTGCAGCTTGATTATCTAGCGGCAATTTTGTTTCAATAGAGGTGTATGAAATAATAAAGTGAAAATGTCACAAAATGTATGTAGTGAATTTGTATCAGGAAAAAAAGACATCAGTAAATCTATTGTTTATGCATCTATAATGTCTTCACTGGAAATTGCTCAACATGTTCTTCAAAGTTGAGCATTTTCACTTGACCTCAGATTTTTGGTTATAGGAAATCTCTTTTATGTAACAGTGTTTTTTTTTTGTATGTGACAGTAGCAAATTAGTCACCTTTCTGTCTTTTGGTATTTATACAGACCCTATTGCCATAGTAACTGAGCTCTTCATAATTGTTAATGTATTAATCCTCAGAACATCCGTGTGAGGTAGAGAAGTGCTCCTGTTCCACACATGAGAAAAACCTCTTAGGTGCCCTGAGATTCAGTATCTCTAACCCCTGAGGCCAGTGGGAATGGGGTTATGCTCTCATTTCCCTGCCCCTAGAATAGTGTGTTCTTCTTTGAACTGTCTTTTCTCTGCCCAGCTTTCTCAAATTAATGAATTTTAGTGAAATTAGCTGCAGCCATCTGGAATACGCTCATTTGCATACAAGTTCTGTGCAGCTGTCATTATTCTGCACATCAGGATTAATGAACTCTGAAGATCCAAGAAAAAGAAGTGTATGGACTGCTGCTGCATATTCCCAGCGGATCAAGACATAATTTTTTCTACCTATATATCACAGTGCCAAACATCGGCTACTTCTGACTGTACTACTGCAGGGCATATTAATTGCCAATATGTGGTTCATGTCTTTGTGTTGACAGAGCAGACACCTGTTTGTGATACGTCTACATTTGTTGGCTGATTTTGACCTTTGAAAAAATTCAAGTTTGTTTTTGAAATTGTTGCCCTTGGAATGCTCTACTATTGTTTTTGTGTTGTGTTCTTTTTCTGATTTTTAGGCAGAGCTTACTTCACGAGCAGAAAGGAAAAGACGTGATTCATTCGGGATGTTTGACGGTTATGATAGTTGTAGTGAGGACACCAGCAGCAGCTCCAGTACAGATGAAAGCGAAGAAGAAGTTTCTCCTTTGCCATCTAGTCTCCCGATTATAAAGAACAATGGACAGGTCTATACTTATCCCGATGGCAAATCTGGCATGGGTAAGTACATGGTACAAAGACTCTGCTATTTATGTTTTTCAGCTTATATTAGGAATTTGAGTGAGTCCAAACCCAAATGTTGGACAAATCAGCTGAGGGAAGGGTTTGTGGATGGTGGTGGTTGTTGTTATTCAGTTCATTCTGTTCTTTTGTTTTGAGTAACTGAAATAAGCTAAGCTATTTAATGAGCGTAATCAGAATTCTCTTTTGTGTGTATGAATATGGCATAGGTAGGTCGCAGACACTGTTTTATTTGGTGTAGAAAGATTCAGTGGGAGATGCTCTCTATTTATAAAGCATATGTTTACAGGCTAATGAGGCTGCTCATTAGAGTACTTACTCTCCTACTTAGAGTACTTCAGATGGGTTAATATTTTCACAACAGAGGTCTGGTTTTCATTTCAGTTCGGAAATCTGGATTGGCAGGCCTAGGTTCAAAAAGTTAAGAAGAACCATGAAAACACAGAAATTGGTTCTTGCTGATTTGTTCACTTTCTCTAGTGGTAAAACCAAAAGAGAAAAGAGAGACTGTTTCACTTATGAACTTGAGGTTCACATTGTTTTACTGATCTCAGCTGAATTTTTCTTAAGTTATTTTTCTGTATATATCTCTTCACCTAAGAAAGTGCTCAACTTGGTAGTGCCACCTACAGTGCCTTTTGCCTGTCATCTTTGTTCTGAATTTTTACTGAAGTCTTTATTACCCTTTTAACACTTTGCTCTTTTTCTCCTTTGATTAGCTACTTGTGAGATGTGTGGAATGGTTGGTGTCCGCGATGCTTTTTACTCTAAAACAAAACGCTTCTGCAGTGTGTCGTGCTCTAGAAGCTATTCCTCAAACTCCAAGAAGGCCAGCATTCTGGCCAGGCTTCAGGTAGCGGTACAGAAACCACTTTCTTTTTATATTTATTGTAGTCTGTGTGAGCACATTAACATTTTCACATAATTTTGTATGTTGAAACTCAAGACCGTATCATGGAACAAAGTCTTTTGTTCAGCAGAGCAAATTACAGAGAATAGTGACTTATTTTAAGTCTGCAGCAGTGGCCCACTCGCATCGGTAAGACAAGAAACATCTTCAATCTGTATGTGTAGTCACTATAAAAACCATATTTCACCCCTAAAATGCTTTTTGGCTTTAGAGAGATCATAAAGATTTCTTTAGCATTGCTCTCTGATGTTTTCTTAGCAACTATTAGCCTTACAAAATAAGTTCTGGTCTATTCATTTAGAATATCGATCACCTATTTTTGTAGTATGTTTTGTAGCATTCAAGGGAAGAAATGGAAGTGTCAGTAAATGCAGTTATATCTCGTTGCTGCATGCAACCAATGCCAAGAAATTGCATTTATATGGATTAGATTTAAGGTTCTTCCTTTTAACTAGCGTTTATAAGATACTTTTTTCCAGATAAAGAACAACCAAATCTGTATGCTCTTCAAGTTGGAATACTGGTACAAAACTAATATTTTGGACATTTTCTAGATTCTGTTTTTTTATGTAATGAAGTTTAATATTCTTTGTAATTTTGTGATTCTTTGACAGTCAACTTCCATTCCGTGCTCTTCTAATAGAAGAGTTCTATCTACCAGGAAAAAAAGTAGATCATCAGATTACTTTGAAAATGCATTTTATAATTTGTTACACTGATTTTTCACAAAATAGCGTGAGGGATATGGCACAGATGTGTAGACATTTCCAGTGCGAGTTTGGGAAGACTATTTATTTAGCTTTTTGTTGTTGTTTTAGGGTAAACCTCCAACAAAGAAGGCTAAAGTTCTACAAAAACAACCCTTAGTGGCTAAGTTAGCAGCATACGCTCAGTATCAAGCAACTTTACAAAACCAGGCAAAGACTAAGGCAGGTAATGGCATATAAGCAGATGCAAACAAATTCTTGATAGTGCAAGATTTATGGTTTATTGGCAGTTTCCTAAATAAAATAACTTTCTCTCAACAGCTGTCCCCGTGGAAGGTTTCAGCTGGGGTAACTACATCAATAGCAATAGCTTTACAGCAGCTCCTGTTACATGTTTTAAACATGTAAGTATTTTTTCAGTATGTTTATTCTCTGTGTGTGAGGTTTTTATTATTATTCATTTATTTAATCAGGAAAAAAACATGGTATGGATAATACTTTGATTCATTTTTGCAGTAGATTTGTATTCTAATGTGCATCATAGTCTTGGAAATTGACTTACATTGTAAACTGATAGTATGACTACTTTTAAGCTAAATATGTATGTTTTATTTTGTCCTTTAAAACCATTCTGAACACCATCAGTTGCTCATTGTACATACTTCAGCTAAGAAGAGAAAAGTAAAAGGAGGACCCTGAACTTGTGATTTTATTTCTTCCACATTTCATAAAAAAGATCAAAAAATAAAAGAATTATTTTCTTTTCTGTATTAGTATTGCAAAAATTGCAAACAGAATTCACAGAACACAGCCATGGGATGAGAAAAATACTTAGCAGCATCTATCTTTAAGATGTTTGTTAAAACCCATTTCTTAGATCCCATTTAAAATATTGCCAATACTTTGATATAAAATTGTCTTGGATTAAGTAAGAACTTTGATACAGATTTTTTTTTCCCCAAGTATTTATTTATTTGCAAAGCTGAACTGTTTCAGCTTCTTAGAAATAATTTCTAGCAAAATAAAACTTATCTGCTGAAAATTACCTTGAAAATTGACATTTGCTTTCATAGAAGTTGTCCGTAAGGGAGAAAGGAAATTTCTTTTTTTTGCCAAGTGCTGGGCTCCGTGCTGAGCCCTGTCGTCTCATAAATCAGCAGGAGCTGAGGGCCCTTGGCAGTTGGCGCTCCCTGAATAGCACCCTTTATGCGGAGGGGCCTTGCTGCTGCCCTGCGCAGAGCCCTGCAGTGCTGGAGCCTTGGGAATGTGTAGTGAATTCCCCGTGCTTAAAGAAGCACGTTTGCACTTTGCCTTTGTGATCCTGTACGTGTCGTAACAAGTAATTTCTTAAGTGCATATCAGAAGATACCGTTTGATAAGGTTTGATAAGCTGTTGTAGCAACAAATGCTTCACAGGGTCTGTTGTACTTCATTAGGACGCAGTAATTATGCCACTATATTAAAATATTGAGCTATTAGAAGGAATTCTCTCTTGTTTTCTTACTGTTTTGTGCATTATGCTCGATAGTATTTTAGTAACAAGAACAGATATAATACTAGCATTCATATTTTACCTTGAAAAATCTTTGCAGCCAAGATGGCAAAAGTGCTATTAAATCTACATCATGTTTCTCTCCCTGCTCTCTTTTTCTGTAAAAGGTTACTGTTAGTCCTGAGTTCTCCTTTGGTCGTTCCCACTTCCTCCATGGGTATTAGTTAGTGCAATTGCAACTGCACAAGTGCAAGTGCAGTCATGGTGCAATTTAGATTTAGTTTTGCTATAATTATTTCTTCAAAAATATATTATTAAACCATTCAGAATCTGAAGACACATTACTTTTTTTAGATCCTTATCTTTTGTTCTCTCCTGCTTTTTCTCACCCACTTTCTCTGCCTCTTAAGAATTAAAAGAAGCAATTTTCTTTTTGTCTGTCTGTGCAAAGCTTATTGATATGCTTTGTATATATTTTATTGCTTTGGTAATACTGAATGGATGTTTGTCTACTGTTCATATACGAATTCCATGCACATGTTCTGCATGTCTACGAGATGAAATACATAAAGCTTAACCTCAAAATACAGGTATAGAACTGATAGTACAGGATAACTATGTACCTACCCTTAAATTTGTTAGGTAAGTGTGTACCTGGTTGCACTATCTGCATATATATTTTATAGGGAGCGTTGAGATCAATATTAAATAAAAAGTAAGAGGATTTTGAGATGTGCAGTTTGGCTTGCTTGGCTTTGTAAAGCACAGCAGATTTCGGTTATTTCAAGTCTGTGCCTAATTTTCCCACATCACATGGCTTTTTGCTTAATGTGGGAAGTTATTCCTGCTTTAATTTTAATATAGACACATTATGAAACAGAAACGTTTAAGTCTTAAAATTCTTCTAGTTAATTTGAAAGTGTTCTGATGCCTCTAACGTGGCATTCCCACTAAATTCATACCAAATTTAATGTTGGATAACAGGGGTGAAACTCACCTGCAGTACTATTTGATACCAATGCACCCAATCTGTAGTTTGAATACTGAAGTACAAAGAGCTTTGTTTCATTTCATACACTAATGCCATGGCAGACCCAGAACTGGTCTGGTGCACTTTGCCCCTTAGCTGTTGAATTGCCTTATATCAACTGTGGATTTGGGTCTGCTTATGGAGGAAAGCTGTACCTCGATTTCAGCAAATTGATATTCACAGTAATAGTATTTTGTTACAGTTTAGTAACATACAACATGCTCTGTGATCTTTGTTATTAACTAGCATTCCCAATTTTTTTTTTCTAGACCGTTCTTTTTTTTTTTTTTTTTTTTTTTTTCAATTTGGTTTTAATAGCTCAAATCGTTCTGGTAACGAAAGCAAGTACGTTGCTGTGAGTCATGTGTCGGTACTTAATGTACAACTTAATGCCCATGAATAAGAGTGATGTTTTTTCACCTGTTGCTAGTGAGATGCATGTTTTTCTGAAGCTGGGCATTTTTTCAGTCTTGCAGTCCAATTTTATTGAGCTGCAATATTTCTATTCTGTTTCTCTTGTAACAAAACACTTCTAAATTCCTTTCTCCAAGGGGTCATATCTGGATTTTACACTAGGTGGCAGTGCTTTGCCTTTAACTTTGATTTTCTGTTTTCCTTTGTCTTCTCTGGTGATCTCCTCTAGGAGGGTGCAGTTTACACCCAAGATAACTGCCCAGTATACTTACATTTCAGGAGTTGGTAGCATTTCATTTGCTATTAAATGCTTGATACAAGCTGCCTATCTGAAATGAGGGCAGTGTGGATGGCTTTAGAAATAAGTTGTTTCACCCACCAGTTCTTTGTTCAGCTAGGCAGCTGTGTGGAGGTTCTTGGCCTTTAGGCATTCCTGTCAAACCCTGTCAAACAGGACCTTCCTGATTGCAACTTACCTTGCAGAGAAGGCAGCTGCCGCTCACAGATAAACCCTCCCAAGTCATCTCCTGGCTCAGGAAGCGAGGAACCAGATCTTCCTTGTTTGGGAGTAACGTGAAGCGGATCTCTTCGTCATGAGTCTGAAAGGTAAATTTGTTCTTACCTGTAAATTATGGTTCTGCTAGTTCATACTATGCCAATCCAGTCTTCAGAGTTACCCTTCTAGCCAGCATTTGAATAAGATTTAGCACTTAGTGCTGTATGAGTTCTTCAGAGCACTGTGCAAACATTGATTAATTGCATGAAGACCGAGAAGATGTAAAGGAAGGGTGGCTGTCGTAGCCCTGGTTTATCCAGTCTTCCTACTTGAAGAATTTTTATAAGGAGTGGAAAGATATATGGTATACAAGGTATACTGTAAAGCATCATTTCAGGCCAGTAACGATATCTGGCTTTTCAGTAGGAATGCTACCCAGGATGGCTTTCTCCTTCTAAAGGGTGAGCCATGTGGATTGGTGTAGGAGAAACTAGCAGAACCAGTATTTTCACAGACAAGGACAAATTTAGCTTTCTGCTATTTCCCTCTATACCAATCCATGTTTTAGAAGTAAAAATAGTTGTGACAATTCCTTTATCATGGAAGGAGAAGTGCTATCATACACTTTTCTCTCTGAATTAACTGAGCAGGTGAGCAGGCAGTCAAATATATTTTGGTGAAGTGCCACTGGATTGTGAGATTGTTCAGCACTGCTATTTTTGATTGACTCATCTGTATTTCTGTACAGAAAGACTTACTGAAATATGCAGTTTGAAAAGTTGATTTTCCCATTTCAGGCCAAAAGCTACAAATGTAAATTTAGACAGGATAATGAATATGTAATGGAACTTTATTAAGATGTTATATCTGCATATTTTGCATATGAAAATAAGTCATCTATAAATTGCTTTTTACTTTCTGTCTGCTAGATGGCAGAAAAGGACTCTACAGACTAGACTGGTGTAGATGGGACATAGCAGAACATGAAGAGACCAGGCTTTGAGAGTACAAAACTGGCATACTTGCAATAGAATTATTTTCCTTTAATATCTAAAACTTGTTACCTAGCATCATATATTCTCAATATTTTAGGGCATCCTCTTTTTAAGATAAATTTCATGTTTACTGCTGCTAATTGGCCATCACTGATTGCCGGCAAACTTCCAGCATTGTAATTACCAATCATTCAGAATTATGAAACTGCTTATCCCCTATGGCTCACCACCAAAAGTCCAAGAAGTTGGAGGCTGTTTTCAGTGAGCTGTTTAAATGCTGTGCTTGGAAAAAGCCTTGTGCATCAGAGAGAGGCTTTGAATCCTGCCTGCCTATTATGATATGGAATCAGAGGGTCCCTTCAGCCTCCTCCCTGGTACCTGAATGCTCTCTGCGCTGATTAGAATTTATTTCTCCTAGAGTACCTTTATACTTGGTAGAAGTATTGTTCTTAACTGTTGTTCTGTCCATTGTTCTAAACTATCTAAAATCTGAACCTTTCCTTTGTTTTTGGTTTCTTGTTGAATTTAGATTTATTTATTTATTTGGGTTAAAATTTAAGGGTTTAGATTCTTCAGCACTGCACGTTTCTGATATCTCTACATACCGTCTCTGACTATCTTTTCCTGATGCTCTGGCCAACGTACCATTCTTCCTGAGATGGCAAACTTGATGTAATTTATGTCTCTGTTTTGCCCAAATCCTTAAGAGCTCATCAGGCTTGTATTCCTTCTTGTAACTAAAACCTTAGTTTAAGCTTTCAGAACAGTGTGTGAGGAATCTAGCTGTGTGTTTCCCTTTGACTTTTATTAGAAAGATGCAACTCAGATTTTTTTGTTTGCTTGATGGAATGATCATTTACGGGTAATACAAAGTTTCTCTGAGAGGTTGTGATCCCATAGGAGATAACTCCTTTCCTAATAAATCTTCAGGATGCATTCAATAAATAAATCTTTAGCATTTTCAGGCAAGTTACAAATTTACAGAATGTATGCTGGATTTTGATATGTGACAATGGTATAATTTTTTAGTATTGTCAAATTCCTTCCAAGTAGAATTGTGGGGGGAATTATACTGTTCTCTGTGAAGTCAGTGGCTAGGCTCTAGTTAAAACCTCATGGAATAATGCTGACCTGTGAGTATATATAATCTGTACTTGTGCTTTACAGATGTTTAAATCGTGTAGTTGTTACAAGAGATAAGCAATAATAATTGTGTACTACCACTGCACATAAACTGCAAAGCAAAAATGGTTTTCAGAAAGACCAATTTCTAAATGTATTTTTGTCTATCATGTATAGCAGTTTTTGTCTCTTCTTGTAAAGTCACTCATAAAGCACCACTGTAACAAAAATAATTATTTTTGTGTGGAGTAAACAGAATGCTGAACTGGTCTTGTTTTTCCCCCTCTGTCTCAAATGACAGGCACCAATGGGGACGTGCTGGGGTGATATCTCAGAAGGAGTGCGCGTGGAGGTTCCAAACACAGACTGCAGCCTACCTACCAAAGTCTTCTGGATAGCTGGAATTGTAAAATTAGCAGGTGAATATCTTTATTAAAACCATTAAAATAACTGTAGAGGAAGACAATAACTTAGTGACTGTTCATGAGGGGAACACTTTTTTTTTTTTTAATGTGTTTTATCCTATGAAAAACAAAGTTAGTATTTTACGATTGATGGAGAAGTCTGAATAAATTTGTAACCATAATTTTGTATTTTTTTTAAATGGGCTTGTTTTTATTTTTTTTTTAGGGTACAATGCTCTGCTAAGATACGAAGGCTTTGAAAGCGATTCAAGTCTTGACTTCTGGTGCAACGTTTGTGGGTCTGACATCCACCCAGTTGGTTGGTGTGCAACCAGCGGGAAGCCCCTAGTCCCTCCTCGATGTATGTAAATATTAGCAGTATCGATTGATTGAGATAATTAAAAAGTCTGGTTCTGATTTAACCAAATTTGCTTATGATTTGAATATTTTACCATAGCAACAGTGTTTGTTGGAGTAGCCCCTGCTATATCAAGGTGGAAACAGTTAGGCTAATCAGTGACATAAACATGCACTGGTCTTATCTATGTTTTGTCATTAAATTCTTTGCCCTAACATACACATGAGTATAAACTGGGTATCATTCATTTTCTAAAGAGTTTTTGTTGTTATTTTCATCCAGGCTTTTTAACAGTCATCTAGGTTTTCTTCTTTACATATTCCAGGCTATAACATTGTCTCTAATGGACACATTTAAAAATCAGTGGCTTATTTTTTCCCCTTCATTTGCAACAGCCATCCAACACAAATACACAAACTGGAAAGCTTTTCTAGTGAAACGACTTACTGGTGCCAAAACACTTCCTCCTGACTTTTCTCAGAAGGTAAGGCTGATGCAATATCAATAATGTACTATAAACAAAATTACAACAGAGTGTGAAGAGCTGAAATATTTTACAATGGCACATTATTCCCTTTATAGTGAACATCTTCTAGTAGTTTTCCCTGGAATCTCTATTTTCCATTTATCTCTGCACATGTTAGTATATGCTGCCATTTGAAAAACTCTTCTTTGAAAGAAAGTCTAATTTTAAAATAACCCCCTTTAAAAAAGTGCTAAAAAGATGCCCAATGATAGATATTAGAGAAAAAGTAAAACCAATCTTGCTAATTCAGGGATTTTTTTTATCATTCATTTTTTTAAGAAGCTGAACAAAGTTTGCTAACACAGCATACATCTAGATGCAAGAAAATACCTAATTTTAAATGATATTTCTATCTTCTTTAGGCTAGATTGGTTTTTGTTTTTTGGGGAGGAGGAAAGGTATCTGTTACAAGATGGTGCATAGATTTTAATAGGAATATAAGGAGTCCTGTGTTATTGTCTCACATACTACTGTTCTAAATACTTCTGTTTTCTGCACATGTTCATTTCCATTTAAAACTTGGCTCAGTTTGAAGCCTAATCAAATAGACAAGGTCTAAATACTTTGGGGAGTTCATAATGGACATAGCAAATAACATATATTGTGTTTAATTTAAAGCATATTTAAAAAATACATTTTTCACAAGCAGATCAGTGTTTCCTTTATTTTCTTTCTTCCTTTCTTGATATCGTGAAGAAATATGTTTGTGAGTGGTCAACTTAATTATGCTCAAGTATTATTTTCTATGCTTTTGATCCTATTTTTAAGTGCTATACTTAGAGTGGTTGACAAAGCTTTTTTTTTTTTAAACTTTAACATTAGAGTTGATTGTTTCTCAAGGTCGTTTTTATCCATTGCTAATCACTGAGCAAACTTTCATTAAATCAATGGAAAATTCCTTTAACCGGTGTGGAATTCATTTATACTGTTGTAGGATCTAGTTACAATTAACCTTGTGAAATATTTCATTTTGTCACATGTACAACAAAACATAAGAGAACTTTTTGTTACTTTTGCAGGTGGATTAGCAAGTAATTGAATTAAAGAGAAGTACTTTGGTAGCAGAAGACAAATGCCTAGACAAAAACAGAGCGTATTTTTACAGATTTTTTTTTCCCCTGTTATTTTAAGGTGTCTGAGTGTATGCAATATCCGTTCAAAACTTCCATGAGAGTAGAAGTTGTTGACAAAACACATCTTTGTCGAACGCGGGTAGCGGTGGTAGAGAGCGTCATTGGAGGACGGCTAAGATTGGTGTATGAAGAAAGTGAGGACAAAACCGATGACTTCTGGTGCCACATGTACAGTCCGCTCATTCATCACATTGGCTGGTCTCGAAGTATAGGACATAGATTCAAAAGATCTGGTAAGCTTGTTGTATTTCAGAGGTGTCCTTTTGGCTGGTTGTCTTTGTGAAGCTTAATGTAAGCCATACTGTCACTTTAAATGGTTAATAAAAATAAGTCATTACTAAGTATATTTGTTTTAAGCCTAGATGTCCTCTACTGTTAATTAGCTAACATAGCGTAGAAGAGTATGCAAAATATTTCACTTGGGTTTTTTTTTTGCGAAAACCTGCGTATTTTGATAGCAATTTTGTGGCACAGTCTTGGGAATAATGCTTTTTTTTTTTTCTCCTCATAAGTGAAATTGTGTTTTAAGAGTATTTCAGGTAGAAATAACTATGAAAAATGGATGTGTGTTCAGTAGATTTTTGTGGTAGTCATCTTCAAATATGGACCTGCCATGGTAATAAAGTGACCGGGTAGTACCAGATATTTTCCACTGAACCCATTTATAAATAAGAATAGTTGAATTTAAGAGTGATGCTGAAAGTCGCTGAAAGGACTGTTCAGAGTATGTCAGTACCTGGGAACTTCTGGCTGACATAACTAGAAAAATGTACCATCTCTTCCATTACTGAAGTCTCTGACAAGGATGTACCACTTTTCCCTGTAGATATTACAAAGAAACAAGAGGAACATTTTGATGCGCCCCCACACTTATTTATGAAGGTGAGTTCCCTAGCAAGAACACGGTTTTTGCAGAGTTGATTGAGGAGCTCTGATTCCTGCTGTGTATGAAACAGGGCTGCAACTTTGCCAAAGGCTTGAAAATATGCCCAGTGTAAGTGGTGTGTTTTCTAATTGCGTTCTTAACCAATTCAGGCTCTTTTGACATACACGGAGCTTATATCAGAGGTGTTTTGGTCGTTGTGTGTCAGTAGTGTGTGGCGATGTGTTCTAGCCTCACTAGATTCTTAGCTTCTGGCACTGTTTTTTGCTTTAGGTAAAAGAGGTTGACACAGCTGGGGAATGGTTTAAAGAAGGAATGAAATTGGAAGCTATAGACCCTTTAAACCTTTCAGCAATATGTGTGGCAACTATAAGAAAGGTAAGAAAGCAAATGTCTATTTTGGGAAGGTGAATATGAATCCAATTTTCAACTCACTTTTATTCAGTTTTGAAACATAAGAAAAAGCTCAAAGAAAATAAAATGCAAGTCATTCACACTGAATGTCCATTGAATCTTTAGTTCTATGTGTGTAATATAGAAAAGCATATACCTTGCAAGTTTTAATTTAGTTTTTAATGCTTGAAAATTCAATTTTATTGTTAACTAAGAAATAACATGCTTATGAGATAAGTTTGCAGGCTGATCTTCTGCTAATAATCCCAAATATTCTTCAACCCTGTTTTGAAAATCCTATCTTGCTTACCTGTGAAAGTCAATGAAGATTTTTATATATTTATATATATATATGCATATATATATATATGCGTATATATAAAGAATGTACTTTTTTCCTAGCTGAAAAGAGCATCATGTGAAATATATTTTAAAAGGAGAAAATGTGAAGAGTTGCTTAGCATCCTCACGTAACCTTATCAATGAGTAAGGTTGCTATCTTGATTTGCTTTTTCTTATTTATGTAGCATTAAATATCCAGCAAGATAAAATGTGAACTAAAATATAAAGCTTAAAAAGCTTATGTTCACCAAACTAAGTAAATAAATGTAGAAATTAGAAAAAGGATTTTTTCCTCCTGATTTTGCGATTAATTAACCTACTCTTTAGTATGCAGAAAATCTTGGAGACAGGTATGACGTTTGTTTCTTTGTTTTGTTTTACCTGAATGGCCTTATAAATGTTGCCATTAGTACTCGGTTGTATTTACTCTTTTGAAACGTGGCATGCTTTCTTTCTAGCCTTATCACACAGTTAAAGGAATTTAATGTAAAATTTTGTTTTTCTTCACAAAGGTTTTAGCAGATGGCTATCTTATGATTGGGATTGATGGCTCAGAAGCAGCAGATGGGTCTGATTGGTTTTGTTACCATGCTACTTCCCCTTCTATTTTCCCTGTTGGTTTCTGTGAAATTAACATGATTGAACTAACTCCACCCAGAGGTACATATAGCATTCTGACCACATTTTATTTTTAATATTTTTCAGTGATATTGTATATGCCTTATGCTTTGTTTGTTAACTTAGTCTACAAAGTTCTTGTCACTTTACAGGACTTTCCCGAGTCTGAAACAAATATTACAACATAATTTCAAAGTAATCTAAAACAGTTACCGAGCCTTTTTGTACGTGAAAAGACAAACTGATCATCTGATTGGTTCACTGGCTAAATTAATTTGCTTTTGCTATCAGAACTTGAGAGATTAGCCCTAAATTGAATAGTACAGCTTAAGTGAACAGAAAATGTAAGTATATATAAGTCACTGTTCAGAATATGTTGGTACTTGGGAAGTTCTGGCAAGCAAAGGTTTAAAGAACACTTAAAGAGTGTTAGACTTGGGCCAATTAGTAACAATGGTAGTTAATTAATTGAAATAGATTCACAAACTTGATTTTTGTAGAAGTTGCTATAGATTTATGCATGGCGTAATCCCTGCTATAAGAAAAGCTGTCTGTCCACTAGCATGTTTGCTTCCAGAAGACTCTCATTGCCTTCATCTTTCCTCTTTACTACCTTCACAGTTTATTTTACTTGCTTGTGTAACAGCAGATTATAATGATTTTCTGTGTAGTTTTTATATCCTTATTCTAGCAGACTTCTGTTTGTATTTGTTGAATGATTTTTTTGAAGTAATACACAGAACAACAGTACAACAAGAAGATAATAATTTCGTAGCACTTTCTTTAGCACACGCTAGTGAATCTGTCATCTTTGAGTATGTAGAAAGTCTGCACTTGGACAGATTTACAGTTATTTTTCACAGCTCATTTATTTAGTTTATTGCCAAGAACTTCATGGGCCTGATCTCAAAATCAGAAATATGAAGAGTGTTCATTGTTTTGTTTTGTTTTTCTCTAAACCTGCTCACATTTCAAAAAATATGTGGTCCAAGATGTGGTCCAACATTATAAAATATGTGGTACAACATTAATAGTTGTAGGAGGCAAAAAAAGTGTATGTCACTACTAATTAGTTTAGAAATAAAAACATTGAATTGATGAAATAGCGTAGAAAGTAAATTCCTTTCTGTGATGCAGCTTCTCTGTTTTATTCTTCAAGTAGTATTTTTACAAGAATATTCGAATTTTACTGTTAACACATTTATACTACTCTTTCTTGTGTTGTGGCACAATAAGAGAATAAAGCATTCTCTATCTTCATATATATTGTCCCATCTTTTGCAATTTCCTTAACACCCTGTATCATCCACTGGGAGATGATTATAAATCCCATGCAATAATCTAAAAGCCATTTGAATGGGGAATTAACAGCTGTAAAATACACAATGTAATGTGCATTAATATAGCAAATATTACTGATATAATGGGATATAATGACCAAAGCTTCTTAGCTCTTGAGGTGTACTCTACTGTCTAAATTGTGGCCTTGAAAATGGGCAGTTTCTTATTTCTAATTACTGTAGTTAGAACCATGTGCCCACGTCTCCTGTACAAGCTCTGAGAAGCTAGAGGCTTGTGTCCAAATCAGTCCCGCTAGAGCACCTATGCATAAAGAAAAAAATCATTGATATATGAGATTGAATTATTAGTGCCTGTATCACTTGTTAGCTATCCAGCTACTCTGTGCAGATATGACATATTTAACTCTGGATGCCATTTCCAAATTAGATTTAGCAGTATGGACAGTTTAAGGATGTTGCTGTGAAATTATTGGGCTTTAAGCTTACAAGCTTATTCCTTTGAAACATCCTGAGCACTTATTGAATTCACCAGAAGCTGCTGATGCTTAGAAATGTTCAAGAATTTGGCTGCATTTTGGACCTAGGTTTAGCTGCATGTTAGCTGAGTCTTGTCCTTCAGGACTGACCTCAGTGGGAGCTCTGTACTGTGACTTAAGGGAGTTCCCTCACTGTGCCTAGCCCTGGGGTTTTATTCATTTATTGTCATGTCTAGCACTATGCCACCATGAAGAAACCTTTCAAGCTGTGTTTGGTCCATGAGTTTGGGTAGCTTAGACTCAAATTCTAAGTCTTATGTGTTTTTTTGCAAAATCAGTAGAAAGAAAAAGCTGAATGTTTGAGATTATTTTATTCCCTTTGATTTTTTTTCCCATTGGTTTTAAATTTGAAAAAAAAAAATGGTGTAAATTACCTTATTGTTGCTGTTTTAACCTTGTTATTTAAGTTTGAAAATATCCATGACTGTTCTGTTGAAAATATCCAGGACCAGTCTGTTCCTAACAAACCAAGTTTTTCAATAGTGGAGCTCTTTCCCCACAGGAAAGACACTGGATTTGCGTAATTACATGATCTGTTCTGGGTGATTTCTGTGGGGCAATGTAGAGATTATGGATCTACGTGGACAGAAAACTTCAAGTTTGAAAAAAATATTTTTAATGTTAAATGACACTTTCTGTATTATCTAGAAGTCCTTTCATCTTGATTGTTGCATTGGGCTGTGTCCGGTGGACTGTCCTTGTCCCTTAGACCAAAGCTCAGAGCGGTGGAAGTTTCTGATATTAATATCTTGTTTCTTTGTCATCTTTTTAGCAATAGCACAGTGCCAATATACTGTTCTTGTAGATTTTATTTATAAAGCTTGCAGCTGATTTGTGAAAATGTTTAAAATTCACAGGTTATGCAAAACTCCCTTTCAAATGGTTTGACTACCTCAGGGAAAGCGACTCAATAGCAGCACCTGTAAAGCTCTTCAATAAGGTAATAAACATCATACATGTGTACTTAGAATCAACTTTGTATTTTCTTTAAAGCTCTGTCTGTAGATTGACCCATTTCATTTTGTACGACTTGGAATACTTAAGACTGCAGTGCCTTTTAAAGGAGCTATTTTGATGTTTGAATGTTTCTGAAAAGTTAAAGAAAAAAGAGGGTATTTGAAACTTTATAAAGGATACTTTATATACTTTATCTTTCTATACATAAAACTGACTGAAACACTGGCTTCAGTAGAGTGGTTGAATGACTGTGATTAGCGTGCTTGATTCCTGATTTTTACCCTCTTCATGTGTTCACTTTTTCAGGAAGTTCCAAACCATGGGTTTCATGTTGGAATGAAACTGGAGGCTGTAGATCTCATGGAACCTCGCCTAGTATGTGTAGCCACAGTAACTCGCATTATCCATCGCCTGTTGAGGATACACTTTGATGGATGGGAAGATGAATATGACCAGTGGGTGGATTGTGAGTCTCCAGACCTCTATCCAGTGGGATGGTGTCAGCTAACTGGGTATCAACTACAGCCTCCAGCACCACAAAGTAAATTTTGTTTTTGTGAATAGCGTTAGCAGTTGCTTTCTGCTCGTTATTCTGTGATTTGTCTTAACTTCATCCTTTTTTTTTTTTCTTTTCTTCATGAAGAAGTCAGAAGTCATAACAAAAAGAGAAGATATTACTTACTGTTGCTTAGAATTACATAGTTCCAATCTCTTCTGTTAAGTACTTCTGGGCATTTCTGGTTTTCTCTTTTTGTTGCCAGGAGAAGTTTACTTTGTCCTAGGAAAAAATAATTTTATGTACTGATCAGTTCTGGATAATATCATTAGGAATTTCTGTTGCTTTAAGATTGCAATTGTATGTGCTTTCTATACGAATTTTGATGGAACTCAGCACATGCATAGAGTTATTCATGTGCAAGATATGTGATAATAGATGTCTGTTTTTCAGTACCTGTTAATAGGATTATAGTTAAAATAAAAGAAATTTTCCTCAGAAAAGTTATTCTTCCACCTTACTTCTGTCATTAAAGCTACTATGCAGGATAGAACATCTTTTTAACACAGCTGAAGAGTTTTTTCAAAATACCAAGCTTTAATTGTGCTTTTTAATTCTTTTGCAGCATCAAGAGATAGCCAATCAAGTTCATCAAAACAGAAGAAAAAAGCTAAGTCACAACAGTACAAAGGACATAAGAAAAGTAGGTGACAAAATACTGTTTGCACTTTTTCTTCCTGTTTTAAAAAGTTTGTGGTCTCTCCCTAAGTCCCTATTCTCTTTGGAAGTGTTGCTTGTGTGTAAAAATAGGTGTTATGGTTAAAGGTGCAGTATGCCATAAAAGGAACTTTTTAATTAACTGAGAATATTTTTTATGATTTGTGATAGAGTTGATATTGTTAAATATATTTTATATGAATTGTAGATGGACAAATGTTAAAGTATTTTTGGTATTTGGAGATTGCTTTAGTTATGGAATATATTGAATAACTAGGTATATTGTCTTTTATGGAATATATTGAATAACCAGGTATATTGCCTTAAACAAACTGCTCAGGTATCAATTAACACAGTTTCTCCTCTCTGCTTTTACTTATTTTTAACGCAGCTGTAGAAATAATCAAGTTGTTTGGATCAGGAAGAGAAGTAGGAAATTTAAGGCATTATCTTGCTCTTACCCAGTCTGGTTCCTTTTGAAAACAAAGTGTCTTGTTTGCCAGTTTTCTAGGTGAGAGACATCTGTGGGAAGCTGACAATAAATAGCATTGCTTTCCATGAATATTTTTGTCAAGGTAAAACATAGTAATGACTGTTTTTTAAGAATCTGAGCTTTATAAAAAAGCTACTCAGATTCTTTACATAGTAATTGTTTCCTACAGGATAAAGTTTTCCTTAAAATGGATTGAATAGTTGTAGGAGTTGAAACAACAGCACCTAAGAAAACCATTGCTAGAGGTAACTAGAGTAAATGTCTGTAGACCAATGATCTCCTTCAAGTACATGCTATAGCCTAGCTGTGCCAGGCTTTTGCCTTGTCCCTCTCCTTCCATCTATTACCTCTACAGAAGTTTCTTGATCTCTTTCGTACTGCACTAGTGACAAAGACCCTGGTAAAGAAAATCTCTTTTATCTGCTGCCATAGTAAGGAGATTTGTTCCAAGAGGACTAGTTGTTTGTTTATCTCTGCCCTGAAGCCAACTTGTAATATGGAAAAGGGAAGAACTTCTAAGGACTTTCTCTGTTGATTTGATACTAAGAAGTTGAGTTCATATTGTGCATCCAGAGGAGGTGGAGACCACTTCATAGAAGTATCTTATAGTTCGTTGCCTACTACATGTTCTAAATAGTTTGTAGCAGTAGAAGTACTGAGTCACAAGAAATAGTAATTTGTTATCATTACTGTTTGGAATGCCTGAATACTTTGGTTTGGTGTGATTACTGAAATACAGAGAACAAAATAATTTTATTAAAGGCTTAACAGGCTCTTTTGAACCAGGAGACCATACACAGAGGAACAGGAATCCACTGGCATCCTACTCGGCCTAGCCTTCGATAGGCCTCAGTTCTCAGTGAACAGTCTGAGTTACCTAATGCACTTTAACCCAAGCGTTTATTTTAGTTTGACTTGATGTTTAGAGAGGAAGATACCAGTTGGGAAGAAACCTGTCAGTTTGTCCAGCCTACCCATGACAGGTGGGGTGCGGAGGAGCTTCTCTGGTGATGAAGAGTTGACTCCTCCTCCATATCGAACCCTGCCAGCCCAGACAGCCCCGGAGGCCTTCCAGCCTCCCAGGACTAGCCGAGAGTTGAGTCCCAGCCTCAAAACAGGTAACTAGCCACCTCCGTCTCTGTTACTGCAGAGGGAAATGATGGACAGGGTGGGCACCTAAGCATGGCGTAGCATGGAATATGCTGACTCATCAACTCTTTCTTTTTTCTCTGCTTTTTGTTTCTCTTTTTTTTTTTTTTTCTTTCTTTTCTCCTCTTAGAGATCTTTTTCATTCTCATTGATGCACTCCATCACTGAATCAATCTCAGGGAAAAAGGATTCCAGCCTTTTCAGACTTTCAGCTGAGGCCAGATTGCAGTAGTACACAAAGGCCCTGTGGAGCTGCAGTGGTTTAAAATACAAAAATGCTTTGAGTTAAATGCGCTGAATGGTAATGTGGGATTGGGAATATCTGACATGAGCAGGAAATTAGTGTGAATTTTCTCTTATTGCTGAGAAAATACTATAAACAGAAGGTAGAGGGATTTTTACCTTTTCATCGGGGGAAAGCTCTAATATTAAAGATTTCATTTATTCATAATATTGAGCAAATTAAAACCATAAGGTTTATTTAAGAAAGGTTTATGTAATGTAATCCTTGATTTTTTTAGAAGTCCATTTCAAGGAACTGATAACTTCTTCTCTTGCCTGTTCCTGATATGAAGGCCACATAGATTCTCTTTGAATATGATGTACTTATATGATCTGTCAGACAAACTGAATTGTGGCCTCCCTGCAGGACAGTTGCCAGGTTGATGCATTTATCTCAACTTACACTCTCTTAAAATTTCTTTCTGTATGAGAAGGCTGCAGGATTGCGCTTTTTGATATATTCAGAACACAGATTCTCTTGTCTGTATATTATCCCTCATGTTAATAACCAGTCACTTGCCTCCTCCTTTCGACCCTGAGGACAAATGTTGACTCTTCTTTGCATCACTCAAGATTTCTCAACTTGTCTTGGTTTTTGGGGATTCAAATACTGTTGCATCTCTTCAGGGATGAGTTGAAACAAAGAGCTTTAAAAGTGTTTAAAATTATTTTTGATTTCATCTAGCACAGGAGCTATAACAGAGCACCTCTATGCTTTTCTTTTGAAGTCAGCTTCAAAAGCTGACTTTTCTGAATATATGTCAATGAGTCCTTGATACAAGACAGAAGCGTTACATAGGAGAGAAAGTTCTCAACTGCATTTTTTGCACTTTTCTTCTTTTATGGCAAATCTGTAATTAAAATGCAAGTATTTAGTGCATGTATATCCATAGACTGAATTTTCTGAGTCATTATAGCCCTGTGTTCCTACAAAAATCCTTCTTTACCTTCTTGAGACCTGATGCTTTTATCTTCTTTAGGAGTGCTTCACATTTCCAAATTTTTGAGAAGTTGGACAAAATTTGTTTAATTTACAATACAGTCTTTTTATTATGCATGCTTTTTTTCTTTTTTTTTTCCTTTTAGCAAGACTACCTATTTTTTGTCTGAGAGATAGGGGAGACATAGCCCTGATGTAATTGTCTCAAAATGCATTTGAGATCAAACAAAATTCATAGGTTGTGTGTGTCTTCCTCAGCATATCTCAGTGCCTCATACTTTAATAGTCACAGCTACACAGCTAGGCTATAGACACTTTGCAGGATATTCATATATGGCTTTGAATGAAAATGGTGGAACACTGTTGATGAGACAGGCATCTAATCTAAAACATCTTGTCTACCAGAGATCACTGAGGAGCTCTTTCCACCCTTACACCATCATCAGTGAGGAGATTTCAGTGGTGCTTCTCTGGGTCTGGAAGAAGCGTTCTTGTTCTCCAACAAAGTCTTGCTATTTCCTTCATATACAGTGTTTTGAATCCTTGACTCTTGTGAAATGGTCTTTAAAGCAGATGGTTTCACACAGAGAACTGTTAACCAGCCTGCTGGGGAGAGAGACACCTGGGCCTCGCTCAGGGTGACTTGCCTTATATTTAGTGCACATAGAGTGACCTCTAAACCATTGCTCTTATTGCCATAATGATGTTTCTGAGAGTGGAGGAAAAGACATAAAACAAATTTTCTTTGTTTCCATGTGAAGCTTGGAGATGCTTAAAAAAAGAGTACTTCTCATGTCTCTGACCCTTTTGCTTAGAAGATGATCAGTCAGATGACTTCATAAGACATTATTTTTCTTTCAAATATCTGTTTTTGTTGCATGTTTGTACATAAGCTTTTCTTAGGAGGAGTTTTAATTGATAGCTGAATAGTAGGGAGAAGTTAACTAAAGTATCATTAAGTATCTAAATGTAAGGATTTGAATTCTAAGTAGCCACATGCAAGCCAAGTTGTCAAGACTGCTCTTGCTCTCATATAGCTCTTGTTCTTGCTCCTGCAGAATTAAATCCTGGGGGAGAGAAGGAGAGGCAGGTAGAGTTCAGGTGATATTCTTAACTCCTATGTGGTATTTTCTTAAAGTATTAGCAGGTTATCTAAGTAACCAATTATGTTTCTATCATTTAGACAGCAGCTTTGTTGTCCTCTGCAGACCAAAGGAAACGGGCCATTTGATGAGAGTTGGCTATGAGGCAAGGAGAAGTGAAAACAAGCAAGGGATGTTGGACCAAGCAGATGGGGAGGTGGCATCCGTTAAATAAGTTAGCAGAGTTTGCATCATGCTTCAATTTGGGGGCTGTTAAATAAATTTTCAAAGTTTAGATATTATGTTTAGCAGAAGATGGATTATAGAACCATAATAAAAGAATAATCAAATGCTTTGCAATTATAATAGGACTACAAATAGCAACAAGTTATGGGTTTTACTTTTAGCTTTCAGTGCATAATATTTCTGCATTTCAAGAGACATTAATATGCATATAAGTTTTGTATTCAGTAGCTATAAGCTTCAATACTTCTCATTCATTTGGTCATAGAGAACCATTTTTCGTATAAATCAACCTTTTAATGTGGGTACTGCACCTTTAATGAAAATATTGACATATTTTGTTTTCAGTGTTCTTTTCATATATTATGCTCATTTTTATAATTATCACTGTTCATCAAGAAATTTGGAAGGTAATTGTGACATTACTGCTATTCATAACATCCTTTCTTTATGTCTTAGATCCATTTCTATTTTCTTTTTACAAAAGACAGAAGAAGGAAGATTAAGGCTACGAAAAAAAAAAAAGATGTTTTGCTTGAATGAAAGAGACCTTTGGAATCTTAGAATTTTAATGATGTATTGGGAAGTCCTTGTCAAAGTTCTTGCTTGTCCGCTAAAAGATTGTTTAAAGTTAAATGTGGTTTGTAGATTGGAAATGACCAGTAGTTATTTTTACGTGACTGTGGAGTAAACAGTAAGTAAACTAGAGAGTAATCAGTGAAATAAGCAGTCTTTAAAGTGATGCTTCTTACTTTCATTTACACTTTCTGGTTGCCATCTTAGAGCAGAGTTTTCCACTAATAAATTCTTGCAGGGAAAATCTCTGTAGAGGATATATGTAGTGTTAAAAGAAGAATTATGTTCTACATTTTAATAAGAAATTCGGAAATCTGAGATCTGTTTCCGATTGAAATCCCATTAAGTAAATTTAAGGGAAATGTGTTCATGCTTTGAGTTTTACGGTTCTTTACTGTTCATCTTTTATTTTTAGTGACTTCATTACAGCTGAAGGAGGAGATGCTGGATGGAGAAGAGTATAGCTTCCTTCAAGGAGCATCCGATCAGGAAAGCAACGGATCTGCCAGTTACTACATCAAACAAGAACCATAAAGGTGGAGCTGACAGAAGCGAGGAGCAGAATATTGGTGATAGGAAAAGAGCCTTTCTCCAAGACTGACTGATTTTGTTCCCACTTTGACGGGACAGTTTGGATGGCTGTGTCCGGGGCACTTTGCTGACTGTAGATGAGTTACACTCAGTTCAGAATTTTTTGGAAGGACGGGGAAACTATTTTAGTGAAAAAGATTTTTCAATTTATTAAAAACAAAAATGGACACTTTTGTGTTGTATTTGAAGCTTTTGAAAGAATTTTGTAATATTTTCAAGTTCAGATTTATTGTGCATTGTTAACAAGAACTGAAATTCTAATTTTTTGGTGAGATTAATTAGCAGGACTGTGGGAAACTGTTGGAGAAAGATATAGTTGCAAGTACAAATGAACTGTCGTAACAAATGAACCTTTTTTGGTACAAGTCGGGAGACTTTTAGACTCTTGTGAACTGCACTGGTCACACCTCTGATTTCTATTGTGAAAATAAGGAATTTAAGCCCTAATTTAGAGGCATGAATTGTAGGTGGGAGATAGTTCTGTAAAGCTCTACTCAGTGAGTAGCCCCAGTTGCAATGGAGCCATCACATGAGAGAGATTTTAACTTTTTGAGATGTTTTTATTTAGTTAAAATACTTTTTTTATATAAGATTTTTTAAATAAAGTTCCTTTGGGGTCTGATTCAGTGCCCATTAATATCAGTAGCCTTGTCTCCATTGACCGCTGTGGGCACTGCATCGGGACTCTTAAGCTCTTGTCTATACATGAATGTCTGTAGTCTTGGAATGCTCCAGCAAATGTTTACAGAACCCTATGCCAAACTGGACCTTCAGAAAATCCCCCCATTTGGGAGATGAAATTCAGCAATGAATTTAGACTGACGAAGAAACTAGATGGACAATAACTCAGGCATGTCTTGGTAATGAAAAGGGACTTTTGAGCGTTCTTTTGGTTTATTTTCTTTTCCCTTCAGGAAGATTTAGGTATTTTCTCACCATCGTAGGTATTTATTTCTGAGCTTCGTCGCATTCAACACTGATGTTCCACATGGTGCCAGGTGAGCGAAAAAGAACCATGCATTGTGGATGAAGAAAAATAGTTCAGTTCTGCAGAGCTTGCTGTCTCCCTGTTGCTGGGATAGTGTAATATGGAAGTTAAGATCTGAGGAAAAAATATGTTCAGAAACAGCATCTGTTCATTTTTAGGAATCCTTGCATCTCACTTCAGGTATCCCTTATCTCCACCTGCCTGACTGTCCATATGTTCTTTTAAAGGCAAAAATCATGCAAGAGAGTGAAAATGACTAACAGTAAAATGTGAAGTGCTTTAGCTTGAGCTGTCAATGATTTGGATTTTATCCTTCCATGTTTTTTAAACTTTTTACACTTTTGTAGGTGGCTTCATTCATGAAGTTCATTAGCAGAATGATTAATCGGCTCTGCAGAGCTGTGACTGGAAAAATGTGCGTCAAGAGCTTAAGCGTTTACCAGTAAGGTTCATTAACTAAACTCTCAGGAATTAACTGCGTATGTTCTGTAAGTTCTTCTGGGTCTTAGCAGGTCCCCTTCAGAGCCGCACAATGAGCATCTGACTCTTGACCATAGGTTAGGGCTTAAAAAAAAAAAGTTTAACTTCTGTGTTTTACAGGCTATGAAATGCTTTAAGGATATCAACCCACAGAGATAATTTTTCTATATTGTTGTCTGAGCTTAAAAAAAGTGCATAGATGCATAGAAAGTTGAAAACCAGCAATTTGTTGTTGTTTTTTTTTTCCCCTAAAATATTGCTCTAACTTTGGGTCATAGTATTGGTAACATGCACAGATTTACCTCATTCTATGCAAGAGGGGTTAATTATGTAAAGTTTTGTATTTACTACCGGAAGTAAAAATTGTCCTGTATAGTGTAGGAATGTCTGGAATTCTTTTCTCCCTTACTGGTAAAATTTCTTTAATGAACGCTTTTTGACAATAGTTGACAATATTGACATAATCTGGTTATCAGGTTATAAACATCTGTAAATTCAGATGATAAAGACATTTAGTGCTCTAACATAGCCATAGCAAAAGGACTCTATTGGGCTTGGTAGACTTCAAATGCATTCTCTCAGATTCCTGCCAGACCATTATCTTTATTTTAATAGTCCGTATTGGAGGATAGCCAATCCTATACGATTGATAAGACCAATGTAATGGTATTTTTGTGAGACTTTATTTTCCTGGGCTCTCAATTTAACCCACTGAGAGCAGGTTGGCAAGTTCTGCAAGAATTGGTTGGTGTTGGTAAGCACCTCACTGTGGGTTTTTGAACTGGACAATTTGCAGATGGTCCCCATCAGCTGTGACAGGTTGGCACAACTTTGCTTTCGTCGAAGTCCCTCGTTTTAACTAAGCGTCATGACTTAAGTAGAAACACTACTGCCTAAGTCTGCGTTTCCTAATATAATTTTGAGCTGGAAAACTAGGCTGATAAGGAAAACAGAAATCTGGATCCCTCAGCTTAGGTTACCAGACCTAGAACTTGGTTTTCCGGTCATATCTGTTCGTTTTTTTTTAGGTAGTCTTCAAGTGTTAAGAGGAAAATTTAGCACTTATGTTGAATACACTTCCTGGGTTGGAGAAATGTGAGAATTCGATTTGAAGTCTGTCAGTCTTCATAATTCTTCAAAAATAGCTATTTTTGTTGGCTGAACACTAACGTCTGAGAGTTGAGTTGCACTCTCAAAGTACCCATGCGCCTTTGGTAGGAGTTGCATGCTGAGATTCTTGGATGAAATTCCACTCGTGTTTCTGAGTTCAAAATATACCTGACTTGCACAGTTGTCAAGTACAGTGAAATCTGCCCTAAGCAAACCCCATAAGGAACTAAGACAAGGCATTTGCTTAGGAGAGGTTTAAGTAAAACCTGAGCAAAATTCGGCCAGGCATTTAGAGAATGGTCTCTTTTAAGGTGGGTTCCATCCTGGCTGCAGTACCATAGTCCAGGCTTCGCTGTATTTGTAAAGCATTAAATAACATGGTTCTACAAATGTTTATTCACACTCTGAGCTGTGTTACTCGGCTAAAATAAGAGCAAGGGGTTGGACGTCTGAAATCTTTAATGGGGGTCAAATTAATTTCGGTATTTGGCATAGCAGGTTTTTACAACCGTGGGGTAGTGCAAGTCGCATCTTACCTTGCAGCTACCCTGTTTTATTGCTCAAAATCTTTCTGATTTTTGATTTTTATGTTATTTTAAATACAACTCTTTAATCTTTTCCTTGCTGCATCAGAGGAAAGCTAAAGCAGTTATCAATTTCTTGTTCTACGGATACTAACACGGGTTTCAGTGTTTGTTTGTTTTTATTATTGTTGTTTTATGTGATGTGAATACCCTCTCCCGTCAATATTTGTACAATGGTGCTAATATATTTGGTAACAATCCTTTATTGGGAAGGGATTTTAAAAACTGTGATTTAAACTGAATTTTTCTTCCTTTTAATTTTCATATTTAAGAAAAGCCACAGCCGTTTATACAAAAAGGCATCACCTTTGGCCCCTGGGAGATACGTTGGGGCGGGAATCAAGATAAAACAAATAGGGTTTTTACATCATTTCTGTATGTATTTGATATATAGATCAATATCTGTACAAATTTAATCTTTTATTTTCTTGGTAATTTGTGTGGTCAAAGAGAGAGTATTTAAAACTTTCTCATGCAATGTACATAACTACGTGAAAAAAATGCTTTTGGAGAAATTAATGTTACTTTCATTTTTACGAGACTGCAGATTTTCAGCATGGATGTGAAAAGCATTAAAATTATAACTTTGTGTACAAGATGAAAATAATTCACTAAATTTGCCTTTTTTACACAAAATAAAAATGTTAAAAGCCTGTTTCTGAAGTGATTGTTGTTGAAACACATGACACCTTAGCCCTTAAGTGTACTCCAGCTCCCAAAACTGTGATTTGTAAAACCGGCAGTATTATAGATAGCCCAAGAGAAAGGTTGTTCTGAGCACAGGAGAGCATGGAAGTGTTTGAATACAACAGGGAAAAGGAATGGGTAAGTGTAAGCTAGCAATAGATTAATCAGTTAGTGGAAGTACTAGGGGAAAAAGAAGTTTATTTAGACTTAAAAAGCCTCTGAGCTTTTGAGTGAATTTTTCAAGATACTTGTTGTGAAAGATAGTTTTTAAAACTATCCCCCAAAAGAGCTTGCAAATTAGTTAATAGGCTCATTAACTAAATAGTAAAGTGTTTTGCTTAACTATGCTCTTAAGTGCTTTTAAAGAGGTTGATTAGAAGAGGTGAAGGTACTAGCCTTGCACTGGCCTCCCTTCTTTCACAGTGGGTACATGTTACTGTGGTAGAGGGAATTTTGAAAAGGAGTGTCTATTTTTTTTTCTAGCCTAGATCTGCTCTTCAAACAGCTGATGATGGTTAAACTACAACTCAGCATCTCTTCAAGTACCTGCTCATGGTGCAGCTCGATGTAGTTAAGGAGGGTTTTAAAAGCAGTGCTATAGTGAAGACAACTCCTGCATGCAGAGGAAAGTTTGTATCTTAAATCTTCCTTCTCCCTGGGAGAAGGTTGCAATCATCAGGTAGCTTTCACTGCATTTTTCATCATAAGAGGCCTCTTTCAGAGTGAACCCAACACACAGAATTAGTTTTTATCATCCCATTTATTTGACAGTTCTGACAATGACAAGGATAACCGTGCTCATACTTGCTCCCACATCAATAGCTGGAGTGAGATGATGCATTAAGAAGGCACAATTCACTGTGGAAACATTTTACTCGTAGATCCAGTCGTGTGCACAGGATTTGTAGTCAACAAGCTCTGCAGGTTTGAACCACAGGTTGATCTCCTTCTGTGCGCTTTCTACAGAGTCACTGCCATGAATGATATTTCTGAGGGAAAAGAAAAAAAAACATGTAAAAATAAGCCTTTAGAAACATTGTAGTTTTTCCCTATGCATCAATCTAGATGAAGCAAGACTACTATTTTCAGGTACAGTATTCAACCACCATCCAACTATAACTAAGAAAGGAAGCTCAGCAGCTGTGACTAGGGCTATTTTGCTACAAACACCACCAGGGACTGGTCTTACATAAAGATTTGAAGAGGAGCTGTATTTCAAATTTAAAAAATCATGTTTTGGAGCAAGCCATTTTCTTAATCATGACCTGCAAAGAAAACATTATCAGACTAGGATTTTTAAGTCTTTCAACAACTTCAGCCATTCAGAAGAAAAGACTACAGACAGTAGCTAAAGCCTCTGTTGACAGCACGCTAAGCAAGAACTTTACCTTCCTACTTGAATGCAGAAGTCACCACGGATGGTACCAGGCTTAGAATCTGCAGGGTTGGTTTCCCCTAGCATCACTCGTCCAGTTTTAACCACATTCAGTCCTTCCCATACCTTAAAGAGAAACAAAAAGGCAAAACCTATTAATACATGATTCAAGAGTTGTAAGAAGTCACAATGAGGTATGTTCTAATCACTACAGTTGATGGTACTAAGGCTTCGTTGATACAATTTTTTCAGGGGACATTCAGAATAGCGATACAAGAGATGGGTTTCAGCAGGAGACAGCATCCCCCAAACCCACCTCCTTCCCAAAACAAAGGGCTCTTTGATGCGGATTTCAGCAAATCGTTTAATAAAAGCTAAGGATTCCTTAATACTTTTTTTTTTTATGCACAGCATTTCCTTGATAATATAGATAGTAATTTATCAAATTAGGCTTTTTTTTTTTTCCTTCTGCCAGTCTATCAAAAGAGGATCATTGAGGGGGGGAAACGTTTTTATAATCAAGTATCTGAGTATTTTATAATGATGTGCGGAGGAAGACAAACAAGTGCAAATAGTCTTTAAAAAAATGCCCAGCTGCTTACCATGGCCACAATAGGTCCAGAGTGCATGTATTTAACCAAACCTGGGTAGAAGGGTCGGTCTTTCAAGTCAATGTAATGTTGTTTCAAAAGATCTTCAGAAGCCTTTAGAAAAATGGAGGTAACGTTAAATACAAATTCCCAAATAACATAAAAGCTGTTTCATCTGTAAGGCGCCAGTTAGTGATAGGATTTGCTGCCCGTAGGGGCAGTTATAGCAACATTATTGGAAGAGTTAAATTCTCAGCAGAACCGCACTGCCCTCCTGCTGCTGCAGGGAGCTCCTTTCACACTCATTCCTTGGCCTCGCAGCAGCGCTCGGCGCGGGCTGCCCAGAGGATCCCGCCACCCTCATAACCTCCCAGTCAAGGTCACTGCAGCTCCCTCACCACCAGCATGCATTAAATGCACCGGGATGCATTAGAGCTGCATCTGTGCTGATGTTGTGTCCTTGGGGGCAGCGATCGCCGCAGGCTGGGTGCGACACGGGGCAGCGCTGCATGAGGGGCTGCCGTGAGGGGCGCAGAGCCCCAGGGCGTCGCTCGCCCTGGGATCGACGGCCAAGAAGCGCGTCGAGCCACCCAAGAAGCGCGTCGAGCCACCTCTCAGCGCCCCCGCGCCGAGCGCGGGGCTTGGGGCCGGGCAGGGCGGCTCCCGCCAGCCGGGCTGGCACTTACGTGCACGAACTTCATGGCAACGAGGTGGAAGCCCTTCTGCTCGAACCGCTTGATGATCTCGCCCACCAGCCCCCGCTGGACGCCGTCGGGCTTGATGGCGATGAAGGTGCGCTCGCAGTTGGCCGCCATGGCGCTGCGGGGACGCGCACCGCTGCGTGAGGCTCCCGCCGCCGCCGCCATGGCAGCCCCGCTCCACGCGGCACCTCCCGCCTCCCCGCGGCTCCGCTCCCGGCTTCCTTCCCGGCCCCGCTCCCGCTCCCCGGCCCCGCTCCCAGCTCCGCTCCCGGCCTCCCCCTCCGCACGCGCCGCCCTCGCCGACCCGCTAGAGCCCCCGCCGCGCTGCAGCCACCGGAGCGGGAGAAGGAGAAAGAGGAGGAGGAGCGGCACGGGGAGGAGGAAGAGGAGGACGGGGAGGAAGGAAGGCGGTGGCAGCCCCGGAAACCCGCCCGGCGCAGAGGAGGGGCCCGAGGGCGGGAGCTCCCGCCGCCCTCCCGGCGGAAAAGCGGCGTTTTCGGCACATTCCGTCCCTCTTATCCCAGCGGTGCGCACCGCGAGCTCCCGGTAAGCGGCTTGTCACGGGGCGTTTGAGCTCTTGGAAACCTTTCGCTCCGAGAAAACGTTAATCTGATACCTGCTTTATTTCTTCTTCACAGCTGGCCAGTGGCCGTTGTGCATTTCTGCAAGGGGTTTATCATTTCTTGATAGATCCAGACACCTCTCCTGAAGTAGGTTTATTATGAATGTATTTCTTTACAATTAAAAATACTGCTACATTCACATCTGAATATATATATATATATATATATTCAAGAACAGCTCGCTTTGGAGTCCCATTTATTAAGCAAGGAAGAGCCCGTGTTAGAACGTAGCTGAATTGTCGTCTTCTTGGCTGCTGCCAGATGTTTGGTCAGGAAAATGGACATCATCCTTGCTCCTCTGTGGGGTCCAAGCACTGCTGCTGCCCCTGCCTCCCCTCAGTCTTGCTCGCACATTAATCTTCTCATAAATGGGCATTTCAAAAAGCCTGTCCCATTAATCCTTCCTTAAAATGCTAAATAAATCCCATGTGAGGAAAAAAACAAACAAACATAAATGAGTTTAAACTGCATCATCTAGAGAAGAGTTCTTGCTTTAAGCGAACTTATGCTCTGTGTACAGTAACAGCACCTTTCAGAGCGAGATAAATAAGCTTGTTTCTGTAGTTAGGGTTAGCTAGTACTGTAGGGGTTAGCTTGACTACTTAACATTTAAAATCTGCAATATTGGGGAATGCTATCAATATGTTTAGATACCACCAGCTGTTCCCTAACACTTTAACAAAGTAATGGAACTTTAACATAGAGGCATTTGCACATGTTTCTATTTACCAGAATATTTTCTTTGGCTACAAAGGATTTGGGGAAAATATATGCAGTCTATGTTATTCACAATGATTGTTTTCTGCATTTTAATTTTCCTTCATCCTTAAAAGCAGCTGAAAAGCTTTATAATACAATTCCACTGTATTAGCTTTCCAATCAAAGCAGCTGCAAACAGTGTTTATATTTAATATTCACAACAGAGGAATAGCACTGATTTCTGAGACAATTTATATGAAGGGCTCTGAAATAACTACAGGAGAATAGCTGTGTATCAGTAAGGGTATCAGGAGATGGAGGCTCAGTTTTAGTCATAAATCCATTCGTGAGCGCAGCTTCTGTAATCAACTAGCTCTTCAGGAGTGAACCACAGATTGATCTCCGTCTCAGCGCTTTCTACAGAATCACTGCCATGAATGATGTTTCTATAAAGAGAAGAGTCAGCGATAGAATTCTTAAACTCAAAGCAAAGAAAACATCCTCTCTGAAGTAGCCTCCATTATGGACAAAAGTCATAAGCAATTTTAAAGTAGTAATAGGCAGTAAGTATGTAGTCCTTTTCTTTTGACAACAGAGAAGAAATACTACATCTCTGCTTGCATCTTTAGATACTAACGTTACACAGCCCTGGAGAAGCTCTGTGCACATAGTGAATGAGAGTTCCTATATATATCATGACATACCACTAGGCCTTTTATTAAGAAAAAAAATAACTTTAACGGTTTCAAGAATTTCAAACTCTACCTGCCAACTTGAACACAGAGGTCACCACGAATAGTGCCAGGCTTTGAATCAACTGGATTGGTTTCCCCCAGCATCACTCTTCCAGTCTTAATGACATTAAGACCTTCCCACACCTTAAAAAAAAAAAAAAAAAAAAAAAGATTTTAAAAATCTTAGAGGTATCTAAAGTAGCAAGAGTTAATACCATTCAGAACAAGAGAGTGCTGTCCATCATGGTATAGCATATGTGGTATAGCACCCAGGATGGGTAGATACCACTTTTACATCTCAATAGGGTGGGCACTCTTCCAAAAGTTTCTTGTTTGGAAGGCAAGACAATTAAACATTATTTTTCATAGTTGAGCTTCATCGCTAAAAACTCACCATAGCAACAATAGGTCCAGAGTGCATATATTGCACCAGACCATCATAGAACGGCCGGTCTTTCAGGTCAATGTAGTGCTCTCTCAGAAGGTCTTCAGATGCCTGTGAGAAATTGGGGGGGAGAAAGCTTACTGTAAGAATGTAAAAGCATGTTGAAATCACATAGGTTAGAGCACTATTAATCTTAAAACATGCGGGTACTTCAATATTCACTGTTTTTAGCAACTTCCTAGAAACACATCTGGTATGTGGAATTTGAACAGTTCATTTTACCAGAGTCCAACTCAGAAAAGCAGGCAGGTGTGGGTGAACCGATGCGCCTTGTAGATTGTCAAGGTTATTTGCTGGACATAGAATTCACTGAAAAGAATATTCTCTTCAGCCTAAGAACATCATGTTACTAAAAATAGCATGCTTACAATGTCTAAGGCAATTTAGCCAGAGCCAGAAACTGGAACTTCTCCAAGATACCCCAAGCCATTATCAAAGTAGTATTTATTCTGAGGACTACATTTACCATTACAGTCTGCTATCGTATTCTAAGGCTGAAGTTTCTATGACCCACAAATCGAGGAAGCCTCACGTGTATCAACTTCATGGCCACCAGTCTGAAGCCCTTCTGCTCGAACCGCTTGATGATTTCTCCCACCAGGCCCCGCTGGACGCCGTCGGGTTTGATGGCGATGAAGGTGCGCTCCGAGATACCGGCCATTGCCCTGACGGAGGAGAGAAGGATGTTCAAGGATGTTCGTTAGTCATGGAGCGGCAGGCGAGAGCTATTAATTAATACCAGCTATTACAGTAATTAAACCAGCCCCATCCGAAAGTCATTAGCTCACGCGCTGCCCTGATCCCGGGAATCAATCGCCCTGCCCAGGAGCGTTGTGCAAGGGAGACTAAAGCGGGAGCTGTGTGCCCGGTGCAGGGATGACCATTAGCAAAGGCTAAACCAGAAGGGCCCTGAGCAGGATGGAAAGACAGAGATTGCTGCCGAGCTGAACGGGCACTGCCCTCAGCACTGGGAGCAACTGTGAATGCCCAGCTCCTCGGGACTATTTTGGGGTTATTTAGTGGTCTGCTCTGATGTTGTGTAGGTGTCTATATATATATATATACACACACATATATATATATAATATACACAAATACAAACACACACAAGTGGGGACGAGGGTAGCGGTCCCCACAGAGCCCCTTCCCGCTGCCTCCCCGCGCTCCCTCCTCACCTGCTGGTGGCCGCGGACGACTCTGGCGGCCTCCGGACTGCAGCCCCGGCCCCGGCTTAGCCGCCGTAAGCCGCCCCCGCGGGGCCGC